TTAGTTGCAAGGAAATACAATATTTTTAGATTTTATATTAATAATTATTGCAGCTAAATAGATGATTCCTGAGTTGCATGTTTTTTTTCTTTATTTCCTTATCTTTTTTTGCTATATACTTTTGCTTTTGTAAAAGAAAAATAATGCTTGTAATGTTATGTATGCAATATATGTTTTGTTTCACATATTATATCTGAAAATAAAACTATTAAAAAAATACATATTTTTAGCCAAGTATTCACATAACACATCTCATAACCTTGCACTACAGTTTTATGTGATGAAATAAGTCGTCTTTTGTCTGAAATAATATGAACAGCAGCTATGCTAATCTTTCTCCTTTTGTTTTCCTGTTTCTATCTCGGGATGCCCATCCCAAGGTTACTAGAGATTACGCCAGTTCCAGTTTGGATCCAGCCTCGCTTGTGAAGACTTCAGAAGATGCCAACACTCAAAGATTTCAGATGATGACAAACTATAGATGAACATGCAAAGCTGCCGAATAATCCTTATATTGTAATCATTGCCCTAAAAGGTAAGTTTGCAGATTTTTAACCAGCTTTGTATTGTTACAGTGTTGGTAATACAGTAGGATTTTGTGGATTTTGTGAGACTGGTGGGTAGACCTCTGTCCCTCTAGAGGGCTTTTCACACTTGAAACTGGGTCATTTGGGTCATTCTAAACACCAGATAAACGGAATCCTGGGTTATCTGTAATCACGCTTCACACTGCTCATACTATACCTGGGGTTAACTGTTGATCCTGGGTATTCATTAACAGACGTTTCACACTGTACATTCCTAAAAAAACGAGTGCTTTTTTAAAAATAAATACTTTTATTCAACAAGGACAATTTAAATTGATCAAAAGTGGCAGTAAAGACATTTATAATGTTACAAAAGATTTTATTTCAAATAAATGCTCCAACAAGCAACAAGGACAGTTTAAATTGATCAAAAGTGGCAGTAAAGACATTTATAATGTTACAAAATTTCAAATAATTCCACAAAAATAAGTTTCTTGAGCACCAAATCAGCATATTAGAATGATTTTAGAAAGATGACGGTTTCTGAAGGATCATGTGACACTGAAGACTGGAGTAATGATGCTGAAAATTCAGCTTTGATCACAGCAATCAATTAAAGTTTAATAGATATTCACAGAAAACATTTATTATAAATTTAAATAATATTTCTCAATATTACTATTACTGCAGCCTTAGTGAGCAGAAGTTACTTGTTTCAAAAACATTAAAAACTTTTATATATATATATAAATATAAATTAGGGATGGGAAGATTCCCCGATACATCGGCATAAAAAGTCACTGGGATTAAAGTCCAAAACCTGACTTGAAATAACCTAACAAATCAATCGGAGCTAAAGCGGTTCCATAAATGACAAATGAAGTTCACACAATCTCATTAATTTCAATCTGCTTATTCTTAAGCAGCCCTTAATGTCGATCATGGTGGATCAAATCGATCCACCATGACAAACAGCGAATATATCTGTGCTGTTTAATGCATTTGAGACGTTGTGTTTTCCTCAGTGCATAACTGACATGTCACAGGTATATTTTTCATCTGTAAATGTTAGAAAGTCATGCAAATATATCCATTTTGCTGTCAGGAGTGGGCGAGGCACGCGAGCGCAACGAGTGCATCTGCGCGCATGCGTGCTAAACAGACAGAGCGCAATCGAATAGGAGCGCAATAATTCTGAGTAAAATATACATTTTGCTAAAAAAATGT